GCGACTGGGCGGCGACGGCGACAACATAGCCGCCTGGCCGCCACCCACGCCCAAACGACGGGCGGCGGGCGGCGAAAAAGTGAAGATGGGGCGGCGACAGCGACAACATAGCCGCCAGACCGCCACACCGGCCATGACGGGCGGCGACGAGGCAGCGACGGTGCCGCGACGGCGACCACATATCCGCCAGACCGCCACACCAGCCCAGTTTCTTTGAACAGAACGAGGACCCCCTGAGTGCAAGCACTGTTGGCGGAGTCATAATCGTATTTTAGCCAGCGCGGGCCCCAAACAATTTGTTTCTAGCAATATAGATTGTGCAATTTATGTGCAGCAATATATGAGGTGCAATGTATGCTGTGCAATTTATGCTGTGCAACGTATGCTGTGCAATCTACGTTGCGAAGTAAAAGTAGTGCGATTCAAGAGTTGCAACCTATGGTGTGCAATCAATGTGCTTTAAAATATGCTGTAGGCGGTGCAATTTGCGTGGTGCAATATATGGGCTGCAATTGGTTTTAACAAACGAGTTGACACATCCCATGCTCTTGCAAACATCCCACCTACCCACCCGCGACTTGGTTTACAAAACCCAACAGCCCACCCACCCACCCACCCGCAACTTGGTTTGCAAAACCCATGCGGTGGCGATTGGGGTGAGTGCTTGGCGCTGGCTGGTGCCAAGCACGCGCGCTATGTGATGAAAAATACGTTCTGCAATATATGTTGTGCAATCTGGGTGTTGTGCAATCGATGTGGTGCATTATACGTCGTGCAATACACGTTGTGCAACTTATGTGGAGCATTGTACGTGATGCAATCTAAATTGGACAAGACATGGAGTGCGATCTATGAGGTGCAATATAGACGTGCATACCTATATATACCAGAAACAACATACAAATATAGATATACCTACATACACATATGTTGTGCAAAATATGTGGAACAGCCTATGTGGTGCAATTTATGTGGTGCAATCTATGTTGCGCAGCATCTGGTGTACAATCTATGTTGTGCAATCTATGTGGGGCAATATACGTGGTGCAATCTATGTTGTGCGATTGGTGCGGTCCGCAATACAAGTGGCGCAATCCAACGGCGGCGACAAGGTGGCGACGGTGCGACGACGGCGACAAGATAGCCAGTAGAGCGCCACACGGGCCCAGACGACGGGCGGCGACGAGGCGGCGACGGCGACAACATAGCCGCCAGACCGCCACACAGGCCCTGACAACGGGCGGCGACGAGGCGGCGACGGGGCAGCGACAGCGACACCATAGCCGCCAGCCGCCAGACCGCCACACCAGCCCAGTTCATTAGAACATCAGCAAGAACCCATAAGTGCAAGCACCCTTTGGGGAATATACATGTGTATGTATGTTGTATGCATGTCTGTGTACATGTGTAGATGCGTATGCACAAACACACTCGCAACTCATCCGCAGCGTTGAAGCAACCACTGGTCAGGCGGAGGCGGGGCGCGCCGGCCCGAATCGCAGACGTACTTCTGACGAAAGCGATCGAGCGAAGGTCGTGCTCTCCCGGGTTGCGGTCAGGAATTGTTGCTTATCGTGTCGTTCCGCCAGTTCTGGTCCACCACGCCTGGGCGCGACACGCTATCCACGTCCCCGATCCCCGAGTTTTAGCGTCCCGAGCCTTTCCCGGCCTCCCGCCCCGCGGAGCCGAGCGAAACATGAGCAGCTTGCAAGGCATAGCGTGTCGCCAGTGCCGCCGCCGCGACTCGCTGGGCAAAAGTTCCCAATAGGGGCGGGAAAAGGCGAACAAAAGGAAACGACCAAGCAGCTGTTTTGCACCGAACTTGGCGGGCGTCCCGCGCGCCTCTCAGGGCTCTGAACGGCTCACACTACGGTCACCAGAGAGAGAGAGAGCGCGCACGCAACTCGCGCGCGCTCTCTCTCTCTCTCTCTCTCCCTCGCTTGATGGCATTTCTCCTGCCGAAGGCGCTCAGAAGGAACCCTTGGACATCTCTGGTCAAAAATCGGACCGGGTACCACCGATCAGACAGAAAAAGCACCAAGGTTTCCGACCGACAAATTCCAGAGAACCCGTGTGATTTTGAGCCATCTGAGGTGTCTCGATGCTTGCACGGCGCTGTTACGCATCTTGGCGCAGCCGATCCGATTCGATTCCGATTATGTGCCAGTCGGGCCGGTTTCGATGTGCAGTCCGATCCGATCCGATGTCCCGATTCGACACTGATTAATCCTGGAATCACCGTCTTCACCGAGGAGGGGCGTGCAGAGGTGGCGCCGGGCGCGGTGGTGTGCCAGTCTCTGGGGCGCCTCCGCGGGGCGCATTCTGCACGCCTGCGTCCCACGGACCAGCAGGTCCCAGCGCTCCCCGTGCGGTGGCGGTGGTGAGCTTGCGTTTCCCTACATGTCCGAGCCAAAGAACAAGTAATTCTTAACGCTTCGCGTATCTCCACCAGCTCTTCGCCAATTCGCATTGTGCCGCCCGCCCCGGACATTGCTTTTCGCCGCCAGACCGTTGTCGCGCGGCCGCCGACCAAAAAAGTATCTCCACCAGCAGGGTGACGGGTATTCGCCAACCCACGGAGGACGCTGAGGCTCCCGGGCTCCCTCAGCAGCACCAGCAAGACAGAGAAAAGGAGAGGGAGGTCACGGCGGAATCGGCGGAGGCTGCGGAAGCCGCGGAGTATCGGGGGCCCGAAGCGGCGGAAGCCTCGGAAGGTGCGGAAGCGGCACACGCTTTCTCTCGTGTCTCTGGATTAGAACCGGGTGGACAGGGGGTGGCCCCCGATAGTGTTGACGGTAGCCGCAACAGTCAGCCAATCGAGACTCCGGGACAGCAGGGGCTCGCCTGCCACACCGTGCCACCCCCACCTCCCCCTCAGAACAATCAGACCGTCAGCAGTCCTTTGGGAGCGCCACAGACCCAGCAGGGGGACCATGGACCAACCGTCCAGACGCAGGACAGCGAAGCCATCCACTGGCTCGTCGGGAGAAACCCCTTCGCGCCTATTCGCCCCCCTTCCCCTGTCAGTGAACCCATTCTTATGGACGGCGAACCCCAGGCGCCCTCTCCAGGCGTCCAGGGCACGACTGGCAAAGCACCTCGTGCCCCGGCAATGGAAGCTGCGTCGCCGTGCGTGCACGCGCCTGCCACAACCAGCGAGACCCCAGAGACCGGAGAGAGTCTTGCGCTGACCAACGGGGACGCACCTGGGAGCGACGGCGGGCACAGGCCCGAAGGCGAACGCCAGCGAAGGGGGCCCCTCCCCACGTACCACAGGGCAGCGTCCGCCTTGGCCGCCGGATACGATCCGACCCCCGCCTGGCGGCCAACCACGCGGCTTGCTTCTCCCCGCAGAACCCCGCCAGGCGTGCAGCCGGAGCTGTCGCGAGCAGATCGCGAGCCCTCCGGCCAGGACAACGAGGCCGGTACGTTGGACACTTGCGGCCAGGATACACGGCGGCACCAAGGGCCCGAACCGCGCCAATGGCCAGAACCCAAGGACCCCGACACGGGACAGCAGCTGTACAAAACAGAAATCAGCAGCATCCTGTGGGACCTCCCCGGGAGACACCCGGCGATGCGATAAGACGGCTCCAAGTCACATTGGGAACCATGTTCATTGGCACCTGGCACGCCTTCGCCAAGCGGCAGTCTGTGCCCGGCAGCAAGGGCGCGCTCGACCCGCTTCGGCACTACCCGCAAACCTGCCACCTCTTCTTGGAATCCTTCCGCAGCCACAAGTGCGACGTACGGGCCGTCAGTGACGCGCTGGGCCTCGACGTCGACTGGACTCGGTTGTGGCAGCTGCACCTGGGTCGAAGCGGCGGAGTGAGCAGTGACCACCACGCGGCGAAGGGCCACCCGAACAACCAGGCCCCCAAGAAGCGCAAAAAACAGCGGTGGGCCGTCTCCCCACAGTGGCCTTCTACTGTACATCGACAAAATGTTGCACCACGTTTGCTGGGCATTGGCACCTGTACTGCATTGCTCTTGCCCCCCCCTTTCCCCCCGATCTTAAGATTGGGTGCACGGCGAAGAGCCCCTGTTCCGCCCGGGGGCTCCCGACAAAATGTTGCACCACCGAGCTGTTTCGACCAGCCCGGGTCCGAACCCAATATTAAGATCGGGGGGGAAGGGGGGGGGACACACGATTGATACGACAGCGATGCGATTTATTGTCGGCGCCAGGTGGTGCAACATTTTGTCGATGCACCGCATGACAGATGATGACGTCCCAAAGGGGAATCGAGAGGCGGTAGTGGGTGGGAATCCTAGAGAGGGGCATGTGGAGGCCAATCAGCCCACACACGCGGATAGCGCTGTCCACCCACCATGGGGACAGGCGCCTGTACCGCCCCAATCAGCTCACTGATGCGGATAGCGCTGTCCACCCACCATGGGGACAGGCGCCTGTACCGACCAGCGCAGTGGCGGGTCTCCCCCCAAGAGACCGCCACTGTCGTGGTAAGTGGCACCCCTCTGCTCCTGCGTCAATTCCATGTGATTGTGGCTGTTGGCCGCGCCTCCCCTCCTCCCCCTCCTCCTCGTCCTCTCTCTCCCCTCGTCTTCTCGGCGCTCCCAGTCATCATTGCAGCGCTGGGAGCAGTGATGGGGGCTCTTCCAATCTCTGGTGGGGCTCTTCTGGCCCGGGGCCTCCCGCGAGGGGTCAAGGCACCCTCGCATCCCCGTTTTGGCTACCAAGGGCCTTTCATCGCCCCTCCCCCTTGTTCGCCGCGTCTTGACAGCCACCGGTCACTGGTCTGTGACTGTAGTGTGGACGGACTGCGTGTCCCGCGGGTTCTCCTGCGGTTTGCATCCTGGCGCCGTCTGGCGCCGACCCCCCACAGACAGCAGGCCCCTCCCGCAGTCGGGGCAGATCAGGGGCTGGCACCAGCGGCGCCCATCATGGCTCGCTGTCCAGCGGAAGATGGCGGCAGCGCGGAGGGAGATGGGGCGAGACAACAGTCCTCCAGAGATGCCCCCGACCCGCCCCTGCAGAGGCCGGCTGAGGCAGGGGAGACTGGCGGGCCAGACGTGGACGAAAGGGGCTCGGGGACGGACGCTCAGGGACGAGAGGGTCCTGACCAGACTTCCCCCTGACCTATGTCATGCGTGTCTGTGGTTGCCTTGGCAAGGTGGTTGCCTGTCGTTGCTCGCCGTGTGTCCGTTGCTTTGGGCGCGCGAACACCGACGCGCGCGCGATGGTCATCTAGCAAGCAGGGGGGACGACGAGCAACCACTCAACCAAGGCAGCCGCGGGAAGCGCAGGACAACGGCGACAACGACGACGACGACAACGGAGGTCAATGTGAAGACCTTACGATCTTTCGTTCTGGGAGCGTCTTGGAGGCCTCTTGGGGCCATCGTAGGGCCCCCTTGGGACCAGCTTGGAAGCCTCCTGCGCCCTCTTGGGGCTCTCTTGGGGCCCCCTCGGGACGCTCTGGGGGCTCTTTTGGTGCCCTGTTGGATGCCTTGAAGGGCTTATTAGGGGCCATCTTGGATGTACTTTATTAAAAGAGGAGATGACGCCGATGGGTCGCTCTTGGAGCGGTCTTGGGCGCTCTTGAGGCCGTCTTGGGGCCCTCCTGGGCCCTTCTTGGGGCCATCCTGGAGCCATCTTGAAGCCTTGAGAGACAATCGGAAGAGAAAAAGCGATAATGCAAAATACACTGAAACACACATCTCGGCTTTGAAGGATGTTGGCCTCCTGGGGGCCTCCTTGGGAGGCTGGGAGGCACCTGGGGCCGTCCTCGGGCGATCTCGAGGTCTCTTGGAGACATGTGGAAGGCTATTTCAGAGGGGGCTAAGTATCTCGAGGGTGGGTCAGGAAGTGAGTCCAGCTGGATGCTCACCCTTGCTTCTTCCAGCGGCCGTCTAGAGGGCGACGTTTTCCTCTCACCCTACCTCACGCCCACCTTTGAACCCTGAGATCCGACGGCGTGATCTGTTTAGCACCGGGGACCCTGGAAGTCCGGACCCCCTTCCAAGGGGCCGGATTCTCGTCCTGAGCCGTCGTTGGACGGTCCCGTAGACTGGCGAGGGCCCCCACAGGCCCCAAAAACAGCGCAAGGCCTCCGAAGGCCCTCGAGGCCCTCGAGGCCCTCGAGCTCCTGAGCCTCGGAGCCCTCGAGGCCCTCGAGCTCCTGAGCTTCGAGGCCCTCGAGCCTCCCGAGGCCCTCGCGCTCGCCGGCGCGCAACGAAGCAGCACGGCGGAGCGGCGCGCCCGCGGGCGGGTCGCCGCTCCCCGCGGCGGCCACGATGGCGGCGGCCAGGGCCGCGCGCGGCACGGCGGTGGCCGGCGGCCTGGTGGCCCTGCCGGCGGCGGGCGCCGCCGCGGCGGCCACGCCGGCGATGGCGACGGGCGCGCCCAACGCCGCGGCGCCCTCAGCTCGCCGAGTTGGATCAGTTTAGGTTTCGTTTCTCTTTGTTTGGGCGCGTTGGCCGTGAATACCGCTCGCTGCTGAAATCGTTATCAGATTCCCGTGCTTCATTTTTGTTTTCCCTCTGTGAAGGGTGCTGACGGCGGATGCCGTTCGAAGCAGAATATGGCATCACATTTTTACGTTTAGGTTTTCTTTCCCTCCGTGTGGGTCGCTCACGGTGGGAGCCATTCGAAGTATAATTTCTGATTAGATGTTTTCCTTCGAGTGTCTCGTCTCCTCGTGTAGGACACTGACAGCAGATGCCGATTCAAGCAAAATGTTTTATCAAATTCTCTGGTTTGGGGTGTTTCCCCTCCGTGAAAGGCGCTGGCGGCGGTTGCAATTCGAAGCAGGATTTGTCATTATATGTTTCCGTTTATATGTCTGTTATTTTTTATGTTGGGGTTCCACGGTGAATATTGTTCGCAGCAGCATGTGTGATTAAATGTTCTAGTTTAGCTGTTTTGTTCCGTCCGTATGGGGGGCGTTGACCGCAAATACAGGTCGCAGAAGCATTAATCATCAAAATATTGAGTTTACATGTTTCTTGTTTGAGATGTTTTTTTCCCCTCGGACGCTCACAGCGGATGCGATTCGAAGCAGCATGCGTCATTAAATTCGCTTGTTTCGGTTTTTTTTCTTCCGTATAAGGCGTTGACGGCGAATGGATTCGAAAGAGAACGTTTCATTACATGTTCTGCTTTAGGCTTGTCTTTCCGTATGGAGCGCTAGCGGCGTATGTGTTTTAAGGGTTTGATGGTTCGACGTGGTTTGCTTGTTGATGGTTCGAACAAACTTTCTCCCTCTATTCGCCTCCGTGAGAGATAATATAGAATCGCCATCTCCAACGACAGTACTCCTATTACCGCACGTCCGTGAGGACTACTTAATCAACACAGTGCGTCAGCACGCAGTTTTGTCATCACAGCACTGCAGTATTACCACTACGATGAGAACTTGTGCGCAGTGCTACTGCACTAGCTTTCAAAGTTTTCACTTGCTGGTGTAATGGGGTTGAATGTTTGAAGGTTGGTTGTTAGTGCTCGTGATACCCCCCCTCCCGCGGCGCCGTCGCACTCGCTATTTACCGCTCAGGGGGAGTGACTGAGACTTGGCCAGATGTTTCATTCGTCATGGCTAGGGGGGTCGAGTGTTTCGCGATGTGGTTTTGTTATTCGTACTTCCCGAGACAGGGATCTTGCGATGCATTGCCGGGGGTGGTCTGAGACGCATGCGATTGTGTTTGCCCCTCCCGCAGATGTGCGACACGCTTGCGTCCGTCCAGGATGGGCTGTCTGAGTCATGACTTTTACCAGAGAGCGGGATAAGGCATCCATGAGCGGATAGCAGCAGTCATCCACATTTGTGCGACGGCATTGTAGTTAATCTGCAGTTATTGTCTCCCCTGCTGTGGGGCCTTCCTGGGGCGAACGGCTTGGGCTCAGCGCGGCCGCCCCCTCTTCTTGCCCGTCCGTCTGATTGCTTAAGCCTGCCTCTTCGGAGGCAGACCACCGTCTTGGTCCCAGTCCGCCTCCCTTTCCAGCCTCCAGTCTGCTCCGCTTCGACAGAGACGGAGGAGGAGGAGGAGAAAGTGGAGGCGAGGAGGCGTTCTTACTCATTCCCCGTCCCTCTCATCACGCCTCCTCCTCCTCCCTCCTTTCCTCACCTGCTCACCACCTCCGCCTCCGCTCCCCCCTCCCCTTCCTCCTCCCATCCCCCCCTTCCTCCCCCGAGGTCCTGGGAGGCCCCCTGGAGGCCTCTAGAGGCCCGAGCGGGCCAGATTCCCCCCCACCGCGCTGATCCTGGAGCCTCGACCCTCGCCCCCCACCCCTCGAGCCTCGGATCTCGGCCCCCCCCCCCCTTCGCGTCAGACCTCGACCTCGCACCTCCTCGCCCCTCGCCCCCCGCCCAGCACTTCCCCGTGGGCGGAGGGGGGGCGGCCCCAGGTCAGCAAGCGGTCCGCGGCCGAGGCCGGCTACGTGGAGGACCCCCCGTCGCGCCCCTGCTCGTCGAGGCGCCAGGGCCGGAGAGGCCCGAGGACCCTCGGGGTCTCCGAGGCCTCCGGGCAGTTCAGGGCACCGCGGGGGACTTCTGGGACCCCCCCGGTCCTCCTGGATGGAGGAGGAGGAGGAGGAGGAGGAGGAGGAGGAGGAGGGAGGAGGAGGAGGAGGAGGAGGAGGAGGGGAGGGTCGGAGAGGCCCGAGGACCCTCAGGGTCTCCGAGGCCTCCGGGCAGTTCAGGAGGAGGAGGAGGAGGAGGGAGGAGGAGGAGGAGGAAGAAGAGCAGGCAAGGGGGGGAGTCGAGCCACCCGGCTTCTGCAGTTCCGAGTCTGGGGAGGCCCGTGTCGGGCTCCGTGGCCATCAAAAACAAGGTTTCAGGATAAAGAGCCAACCCCGAGGAGAGAGCCGAGAGGTTCGGGGGATCCATTTCGACAAAAGTCTAGCCGCCAGATGTTTGGGTCATTTTCTCCCGCACCCAGCACCATCATCCTCATCATCATCACCACCAGCATCGTCATCACCATCATCGACATTATCATCCTTTTCTCTCATGTTCCCCTTCTCCGTCCTGCCTCTCCTTCTCGTCCCCCTCTCCCCGAAGCCTCCTGAATGTTTCAGAAGCCTCCAGATGGCGACTGACCTGCAGAACCCTGTTTGAGAAATTGTGGTTGGTATATACGTAGTATATATATATAGAGAGAGAGAGAGAGAGAACAACAGAAAATCTGCAATGGCGCTTCGCGCCAAGCACCTGGACCTAGACCCTTCAGGATCGGCGCGCAGGCGGCAGGCGGGGCGCGGGAGAAAGAGAGAGAGAGAGAGATGAAAAAAAGAGAGAGATATATAGAGAGAGAGAGAGAGAGAAAAAACATGACTAAGGTTCCTTGTTGCCGCAAGCACATGCGTTGGTACACAGATGTTGTACATCATGTTTCCTTCATGTTTCCTCTTGATTTGTTACGCGTTGTTGGTGAACGCATCCCTGCTACCACTTTCAGATTTTATTGCGTGGCGTCCTCCTTGAATTGTTTGTCCGGGAGTCTCGCAGGAGCTTTTTGGAGTTTCTGGTGGTCTTTGGGTGCCCATTGGGTTATATTGCAAGCTCGTCGGGGCCAGCGTGGTACCTTATTACCGCGAACGACGTCGATTACGAAGAAATGCCAAACCGTGACTACGTGGGCGTAAGTTTTTCTCAACGAGCAACGCCACCCCCGTGGCGGTGCGTCAGACATGCAAGAGAACTAAACGGCACAGTTTCGCAGACCCGTGCGCCAGCACGAACGCGCTGCACCGAGCGAGCGAGGACGAGGCCGTTCGGGCGCTCAGCCACACTTTCGTAGCTGCCGCATGCGGGGCGGCGCGTGCGGAGCGCTTCTAGGTTTTCTTACAGGCCCTTCTGGACCGTCTTGGGACCCTTTTGGACCGTTTTGGGGCCCTGGTGGGCTGTCTCGGGGGGCTCTGGCCGCTGCGGGGCCGCTGGGTCCGTTTCGGGGGCGATTTGGGGGGGCCTCTCGAACCGGTATGGAGCCTTGGAAAACCAAAAACGGGCATGGCTAAAAATCAACGCTCCCCCTAAGGAATGGAACGAATTTGGCTCTTCTCTTGGAGATATTCGGGGCGTCTTGGGGGGCCTCCTCGACCGTCTTGGAGCAACTGTGGGGCCTGTGGGGGCGTTTTGGGAGTCTTTCGAGTTGTCGTGGAGCAACCTGAGTGTGTTTTGGAGCGTTCTTAAGCCGTCTCGGGACTGTTTTGGATCTGTTTTGGGCCGTCTTGGGGGCCTCTTGAGCGCCCGGGGTGGTCGAAATTCGTTCGGGGGGGTGGGTGGTCCCTGGCCCTGTATATATATATATATATATATACATATATACACACATACACACATACACACATACACACATACACACATACACACATACACACATACATACATACATACATACAGACATACATACATACGTACGTACGTACGTACGTACGTACGTACATACATACATACATACATACATACATACATACATATGATACCGGAGAAAAACCCAATCAGGGCTATTGAGCTATAGGGCTATAGAGCTATAGGGCTATAGAGTTGTAGGGCTATTGGGCTATAGGGCACCCCCGGGCACCCCCAGGCACCCCCGGGCAAGCCCGGGCACCCGGGCACCCGCGGGCACCCCCGGGCACCCGGGCACCCGGGCGTGCGAAAATTGCCGCGAAAATCGGCGGCAAACCTAACCTAACCTCATGAATATTGAGCTATAGGGCTATAGAGCTATACGTCTATAGAGTTGTAGGGCTATTGGGCTATAAGGCTATAGAGCACCCCCGGGCACCCCCAGGCACCCCCTGGGCACCAGGGCACCCGGGCACCAGGGCACCCCCAGGCACGCCCGGGCACCCGCGGGCACCCAGGCACCCCCGGGCACCCCCGGGCACCCCCGGGCACCCGGGCACCCGGGCGTGCCGCGAAAATCGGCGACGAGCCTAACCTAACCATATGAATCCGCTAGGACCCCTACAGAGGCAAGCTCTGATTGGGAAACATACATACATACATACATACATACATACACACATACACACATACACACATACATACAGACATGAATGCATGCATGCATGCGTACATACAGTTACATAAACACATACATAGTACAGCATGCATCAGTCCATACGTACACACATACATACACGCGCACACACAGACATACACATACAGACAGACGGACAGACAGACAGACAGACAGACAGACACACAGACAGACAGACAGACACACATACCTACATTGACACATACGTAAATACAGTTACGCACATACATACGTACGTACAGACATGCATGCATGCATGCATACATACATGGCACACATACATACATGCGTATGTGTGTATGTATGTATGCATGTGTACGACGTTATATATAGTCAACGGTGCCCTGCCGCCGCCCTCCAGCCCCCAGGGCCCTCGGGCACCGTGGCGCGCCGGGTCCGTCGACCCCTTGCGCGCGAGACGCAAAAGAGAAGGCTGCCCCTTTCGGTACGGGTACCGTTCCCACTCGTAACACTACGTCACCAACTTTTGTGAGTTACCAGAGCGGCATTCAAAATGGTAGGGGGACCATGGTTCTGGTCTCATCGGGAGGTTCCGGAAATTTGTTGTCTCACATGTTTGTTACCGCGCTCTGGGGTTTCCCCGGTCCCATTTGTTCTCCCTACCAAACCCCCGCGTTGCGTTTCGCCATGGCAAGTTTTAAAGAAGAAGCGCAAGACAAAGTTCTGTGCGAAAGTGACGAGGCCCAAAGTTGGCCTCACTTTGATTGGGATCGCTAGCAAGCCGAATTCTGCACGACAACAGCGCGGGCGTCGTCGAAGCCGATCACGATCCTTGGCCGAGGAGCCGGGAGCGGATGGGATTGCCCAACACGCCCAATCGGACCCCGAACGGAGGAGGTTCAGCACCAGTTAGAGCGGATGGTGCAAGGGCACGTCTGAGAGGAGTATCGCTCCTTTTTTCGGCCGAACGTTCCGAGCTATTGGGGCGAGGTTACCGCTTCCAGCGGCAACAGACAACGGGGCCAAGTTGCTCCGCCAGCGGAGCAAGCCGCAAACAATTTGCTGCCCGAGATCAGTGCCAACGAGCTCAGCGAAAAAGAACTGTCTGGCGGAGACAGTAGCCACGTTGTGCAAAACCGACGACATGCTTTCACCTAACATCTAAACCTGAAAAGATTGGCTGCGCTTGGGAAGCCTTCTGACAGTGACGATACCAAGCGAGGCAAGTTCGAGCAGATGGCATAGGCCGGACGCGCACACTGTTTAGGAATCGGGAGAAGCGTTTTGGTCGCTCGCCGCAACTCAAATTGCAGATGCGCCCCCGACAGTCCAAGCCCCGATCTCAATTGGAGCGCCGCCCTCCTTTGACAAGTGTGGAAATCGCAGGGGCCGCATTAGTTTCGCGGGCGTCCAAGACGGCGACGATTTCCACGAGGAGGGCGACCAGCACGATGACGCCCACTGCTTCATCACGCAATAGTCTCTGTCAACGCCCCCCCCCCCCCCGATGTCTACGCGGAAGACATCTGGGGGGGGTCGGCGCGGCCCGTCGACGACCCTGAAACTGTCTTAGCGGGCGGCGATGCGCCAATGACGAACGGGTCCAGGTCGGCCTTCATCGGCCTGCAGGTTCCGATTATTTCAAGATTTGGGCGCGGCGAGGAGTGCGCGGACAAGATTAAGTCGACGAGCTCGTCGGCTGCTTAGCGAACAGGTTCGGTCCCACGCCAATCCAGAGTCCCACGTTGGAAATGCACGCGACGAGCTCCCGCGGTGCTACCCGCGCCCCGCTCAGCTGGGCCGCGCCCATCGGGCCCGCCGCGAACTGCCGCGCCCCGACGACGCATGTCCTCGCCAAGGCCTTTGCCCTGCTATCGCAGGCATAGATGCCGCGCGAGGTAGGAGCGATTCTAGACGCGCCCCAGAGCCTGATCGCCAGGGCGAAACTAGGGGGCAGGTCTAAGCTGCGCGAGATCGGAGCGGCAGGCGCATTGCGATCACCATCTTCGGTTCCCCAGGCGACGGCTGGAAAGGGGAGCCAGCGAGGGATTGGCTGCCGCGAACCCCGACGACATCTTCGAAGACGCGAGGCCGCGCGGAGCGGATCATGTCTCACAAGGAGCATCACCAGCTAGCACCCACCGCGGCCAGCACGACGCGCCCGACACCGGAGCAGCGGCAGTGGGAGTCGCGCCCTCTGATCTTGCAGGTCCCGACGTTTTTCGACCACGTCGCCGCCGCGCGCAAGACGGAGGCCGGGCTCGGACCAGGGACCTACGCAGCGCCTTGTTCAGCAGGCACACGGGCCGGGCCAACGCGAGGGGCCAGCGCCCGATCACCCGTGCATTGATTACCCCGCACGGCGACTGGCACGCTGCTGGACACGCATGCCTTGCATGGGAAGCAGGAGAAGACCGCCCGTCGGGAGGTGCGCAG